ATTATTTGGAGTCACTCATAGGTTCATTACCCCGTATAATAGCAAAGCGAATGGGCTAAGTGAAAGACTTCACTCCACAACATCTAAAATGATTGCACACTATGTAAATGATAGGCATGATAACTGGGATGAAAATTTAATCCAATTACAATGGGCTTACAACTCTTCGGTACAAAAATCAACCAGAGAAACTCCTTATAAAATAGTATATGCATAAGATCCGACTTTTCCATTTCAATTCCAAGAAATCGATAAACAGCCAAACGTGATCCAAGATATCGGTAAATTACGAGAACAAGTTAGGCAACGCCTGGAACAAGAGAAACTGACCTATCAAACTCGCGAAGATAAACATAGGAAACCAGTTGAATTTAACATTGGTGAAATAATTTTGCTGAAATATCCCAAGAAAGTTCATAGGGGCCAATCTAAAAAATTCATTCCTCATTACGTAGGCAAACATGAGGTACTAAAAAAGCTTAATGATTTAACATATTTGGTCAAAAATTTAAGGCCAGGTAGGGAGATTAAAGCAAATGTAGAACGGATGAGATTTTTGTAGGATTTTCGAATAGAAGATGTAGACATAATTAAGTTTGTCCCTTTCAATGATTTCATGGAAGATCTCAATCAACCGGAGAAATTTTTTGAAACATTACTGAGTCTACAAATAAATGTATCACAGCCACAACACCAAATTTTCTTTTCTTATCTACCATTTGATATATACTACATAGAGCTTTTGGACTCATTGGAGAATGATATCTTACTTTCGAACAACATAGGTGTCATTTTATCGATCCATGATGCGTAACATATTTGAAATATCTACCTCCAAAATAGAAATATTTTAAGCTATCTTTTCAAATTAAAATGCTAATATTTATTAAATCTGAACCTAGAGATGTAAATAATAAATGTATGACCCTGCGACCCTTTTTCCATTGCAAATGTTAAAATTAAATCGTTAGTAAGAATGACAGGGCGTCAATAATTATTCATTCTTTTATTCACTTGTTATCATAATTGAATTTTGTTCGTTTGTCATAACGAGGATAATACCTCAAGTACGAAGATTGAAGAAAACATTAATGCTCTCCGTAACGTTTGGAACAGGGAACAAAATCCAATTACTTTGTTTAATCAAGCTTATCTCATCCGCTGGGATTTCCAGAAATCCCTTAGATTCAACAATGGCCAAATTCCTCATTCGGGGAAGTATAATGAATGTCACTATATACTTATTAGTTACGTTACATATTCTGTTTGCTAGATTCAAGGGGAAAATAAGTGACATTTGCGAATAGTTTTGAAGTACTTGAGTGTGACCGAGTGACACCTTTAAATTGTTTGAGGGGGAAGTTACAGGCACATTGTGGTCACGTACGCAAAACTTGTCGACCAAGTCGGCATATGTAATGATTCACACTAATGTTGCGTAATGAATATCATGTAGGCTAGGGGTCCTCGCCACATGTATTTCTTTATTTTCTTTATGTGGATAAAGAAGGATAGGGCTTCTCGCCACATTTCTTATGGGAAAAAGTCGGATTCTCGCCACCACATGCATTGCTGACGGGAAAAGAAACGGTTCCTAATGTATGTATTGCTTTTCATACGGTAAAAATGGGGGAAGGGTTATAATTCCGGGGTTAGCATGTAAGAAGGGACCATATACGTACAAGAGGGTTGAGTTTGAAAAGAGGTTATGGGCAGAACACGAGTGAGTGAGAGGGATTGATTCTTGCTACAACAGTCAGAGTTTGAGACGAGTACAATTTCTTGGCACCAACCAAACTACAGTCTTGCTTCTCTTTTGCTAAGTGCCCAAAAATCTTTATGGAGAAAGGAAAGGCAGCATGTAAATAGAGCCGAAGTGGAGAAGTTGGAATGAAAAAAGGTGGAGCGCAACCTTCTAATTTGTGTGCATGGAGAGTAATGCAACTCCTATTTAGGAGGATGAGGGCAAATGGTTGTGCTCAATGGTGATAATGAATATAGATGCGAAATATATAATGTTTGCAAAATAATTATGGGTGACAAAATACGTAACAAATTTTAAAGTCCAACTTAAATTTTCAAATCAATGTCAAAAATTCAAATAGCCAAGAAATTTAGAATATGAAATTGAAAAAAATGTAATGAACATGATCATTTTTATTGTTGCATTTCAGCAACATTTACGCATTTTTTGTTGTTTATACTGCTGGGATCGAAGAAGAGGGGTAGAGGTTTTCCTCCTACGCGAAGCAGGGGCTGGCGAGAATGACCGAGAAGGTGGTGCGGCTGGCAGAGTTGGTAGAATTGGCGGAGATGGTGTAGATGGTGGCGGGGTTGACGGAGTTGGTGGCGGAGTTGGCGAGAGTGACGGCCATTGTGGGGGTAGAGAAGGAACAAGCCGAGGACGAAAGATTTCAATAATGTTATCATCATTTCTAACTCGCGTGCGAGAACGCACAAAGTCAAGAACTCCGCCAAGAGTTTTATTGCGACAAAAGTATTTATTTTCTTCTATATCGAAAATACTCAAGCCTGCTATATGTTTGAGCTTCACAAACTCTCGCAACGCTTGCTGGAGTTCATTGCCTAGACGTTGGCAAGACTAACTCAACTGCTGACACCCACAAGGCCAGCGTTCTCTCCGAATTTCCTCCGTTTTCGAATAGGGAAAAATGTGGTCCGATAATGTGCCAGCGGGGTATATAAAGAAAGTTTGCCTTAAGAAAGCGGAAAATGCGTCCGCAATGAAGCGAAGAAAAGCAAGAGAAGTAGTCCGATTATTGCGAAGTGGGTTATGATATGTTCCTATTCCGTTATCTCGGTTGAAGATAAGCGTTACATACTCATCATGGTCTGAGTCTACATCGTCTGCTTCCTGGACGAAGTACCAATGCAGGCTTTTGAGGCCCATGTAGGAAAAATGAAAAGGTGGCGGGGAAGTTCTCTCGTACCTTCAAAAAATCCAACTCGAAACAGTGTTCCAACCCATCACTGTCATCATAGTTCCGGTACCAGCTTGCGCTGGGCCAGTACCGTGGGGGTCCGAGTGCAGTCAATTTTGCCAGATGAGAACACATTTAGCTCCAAGAAATGAGAAGAGAAGGGTTTTTTTGAGCTTTATGAACGATTATTTATTTTATCAGATGAGGGAATGTACCTACAAGAAAACGTTTGTTTCTTTGGAAAGAAATGACACGGAAAGGCTTTTCGAAGTTGAAAACTTCGTGTTTATTTCGACAGAATTTACTATCAAGAAGGAAAAATGTTCGCTCTAAACAGTTGAGAAGAAATGGAAGTAATTTTTTGCACAGATCGTTTCATCCGCATAAATGCAGCATAAAGAAGGGAAAAGGAGTTAGTAAAACGAGGGTCGTCATACAAACTTGCATAAAAATGAGAATTTCCGAATTTATAATTGACATAAGTGGTGTCGACCGTTGCTTATTATGCAGCGATGCAAATTCAAGTTCACTACGAATCATTAAACACCATATAAAAAATGTACATATTGAACAATGTGTTCACTGTCAGAAAGAAGTTATAGTACCATATCACTGCGATAAAATTTGTGATATGTGTATGCAAGTGCACAGTGAAATTTGCGACATATGCTCCGGCCATCATTGGCCAAGTGTATGTCCACTTCTTGGTGAATTAATAAGTGATGAAAAATGTGATTACTGTCAGGAAAAGCATGATATTAGTTCATGTGCAAAAGATGGACAAGTTATAGACGTTGATTATTCGCAAAATGATGAACCAATTGCCGGAACCAGCAAGAAAGAGTAGTTATAGTACCCAATACGAGGGTCTCGGTTGGTGGTGGCAAGAAATTTAAACTTGCTCCAAACCCTGACTATTGTAGCAACAGTCAATCCCTCTCAATCACTCGTGTTCTGCCCATAACCTCTTTTCAGACTCAACCCTCTGTTATATATGGTCCCTTCTGCTTGCTTGCACGTGATGGATAAAATCGGAAAAACCTCAGCTCACTCACCAACACTAAATTCACAATCGTGTCTTCTTATCGGCGAATGAAGATTGAAAGGGATTAACTGTTAAAAATACTTGTATGTGGTTAACGATAATCGCTGGAGTTGAGCATTCAACTACTTCACACGCATAGGTGTGCATAATTACCTGTAAGCAAGAGACCTCTCTATGATCTATTACATCTGCAGCATATTTGAGGATTAATTATTCACGGATTGATTGTCAACATGCGAACAATATGATATGTACCGATAAACAAATACAATGGGATTACGCCGACCAGCTTTATACGAGTAATCCTTTCGTTGATATGCCTAAATTGTGTTCAATTTCGAAAATTACCAGGGCCATTATAAATACTTGCGATTGGTCAACCGAGGCCGAGACATCGTAAAATATCAACGGCTATGTTGTTGTACCCAATTAGTTTATCAAAACCTGGTTTATCTCCATGGACCGATTTTCGTCCGCCACGCTCACTAAGAGATGTGAAAAATGCTTGAAAAGTCCTCTTTTCACTTGCAAACCATTTTTTATTTATTTTCTTGATCGATATATCTAATTCGAGAACTAATAGCCATACGCAATTTAACTACAGGAAATCAATTTAAATTTTCTCAATTTACTTAAAACTGACAATAATATTCTACGGATTATACATGCATATTCAGATCATCACGTAATAAAACGCTTGAATCTGGTAATCATACGTTATTATTAGATACCAATTGTGATGCTAATTAGGGTTAAAATAGTTTTCGGACTTTAAATTAGCATCAATTGATGCAAAAAAAAACTCTTGATCAGACAGACAGACAGACAGACAGACGAACACGAATAATTCAATAGCTCCCGTGCTACGCAAGGTGAGCAAATCATCGGGAAAACCTTTCATCACTATCAATTAATTAAATTGTCAACACTCATTGAGTACATATTTATTTCGCAATGAGGTGTTTATATAAAATACAAGCGATTCTGGCAAAATTCATCAGTCAACCTGTCGAACAAACCTGGCCGTAATGTTGCTCCAACTAGTCTCATTCTTAGCCTTGGGCTATCTTGTGCTTGGCTACGAGCAGGCCTTGACCTTCTACACGGAACCTGGATGCGTAGGGACTTCGCTCCGATTCCAGAATAAAGAGTCCGATCTTACCGCATACTCCCCGTTATTGGGAGAAATGAAGTCATGGCTTCTTCAAGGATAGTAAGAATTGCTTTAAAAACTTGAAATAAGTCATCTCCATGATGGAACGACGCGTGATTTCTGGGGCTGTAAATTGCATATTTGCAATTGCATATCTGAATATTTTTTTTTTCATAATTATGTGCAAATTTGTTATCAGTTTTGTCCTATATAACGCTGTGTGCTTAATTCTGCATAGTCTGCATACATTTCTGCAGGAATCTCTCAGCGTAACGCTTTTCTATACAAAATTTGGCCTAATTTATGCCGAATATTGGGCCAATTTCTGGCCCGAAGGCAATTCAAATCTTTACTCGGGCGAATTTACAACTTGCTAAATTCATGCATAATCCATACATATATATCAACTACTTTTCGTCGCGATTTCTAAAAAACGTCAGGGAACGTCCATATATTACGTCATCATTTTACGAGATCTTTCCATGTTCCAATCCTAAAATCCCCTATCCCTGAATTTGTACGCTATGTGAGGTGTTGGTGCTAAAATCGAGCATTTTTTCACCACGTAATATATGGATTACCCCATAAAAAATAATATTTTGCCCATTTTCATAGCTGGGTAGCATTCAGTGAGACGAACTACACCGGATTGAGGAACCTCCACGTCGTTTCTTACGAGGATATGGTGCGTTGCTATAACGACACACTTTTTCCCACGCTGTCCCTGAGATATATGGGACCCTTGGAAACGACCACACCTTCAGCTTCGATTTACAGCGGAAGTGGGGAATATTTCATGGGTGGGGTCGAACGTACTTTTACCGGTTTGGCTGCAAACAATTTCGGATTTCTTCCAAAATTTCTCGTCCTCACGGGAAGATCGAGTTGGACGGGTTTTCCTAATGAGGATTTTTCCGGAAATGCGACCTGTTTTTCAGTCATGGATATAATCGGGTACATAAATATATCATCGTATGGGATAAAATCCTTAGTCCAAGGATGTAACGCTGAGTAATTTGGGGCCCTCTACATATTACGTTATCAAAAATTCTCCATTTTATCTACCACTCACCCAACGCAATCATAAGGGATATGGAATTTTAACATTTTACATAAGAAAACCTAAACCACCCACTAATTTAAAGTAATGACGTGATATATGCAAGTTCCCTATTATTTTCTGGCAATGTAATATTGATAAGCCCGTGTTGCAAATTATTTCCAAAGTACTTAAATGTACCAGTTTTATGATTTCGTTCCCGTGTTAGAAAATTGTGTAAAATTTTGTCGTCTAATTGTGATTTGAATAAAAATATTTAATTCATGTTGGCTAATATTTTATACTGTTTGTTGTTACGCGTCAATTCGAAAGAAATTCTACATCGTGGTTCTAAATACTTTCACAAAAAGTGGAATTTTTGCTACTCTGTTCTTCCATCAATTATGAACTAATAAACGAAATATTTAAATAGATCTGTATTACCAATTTTATTGCAAGCAAAACTAAAAATTTATGTCTAAAAAAACTCGAAAACCGAGAATTATTTTTATAAAAACTGTTTTGTTTTCGTTTGAAGTACTGGGGCCTAGTTAATGGGTGAAGTTTGGTGAGGGAAAATTTAAAAAACAACCGAGGTCTAAGCACTACACAACAGAGAAGTTAATTATGGCGTAGCTAAATATTTGCATAACAAGCTGGCCGTACCGACAAAATACTGAAGGATTGATGGGTCAAATGTTACATTTTTAATTACGTTTGTATATAATAATCTGTGTAGTTGTCACTTCTGATTGCTCAACAAACTCCCAATGGGTTTCCCAACGGGTTTAAAAAGTCAAATATAGTTCTACGTATATCAATTTTGACTAGATAAGCGTCAGATTTGAACACGGTGACCCAACGTAAACAGGATCCAGAAAGGATAATTTGGGAAAACCGATCAATTGATATCAATTAATTAAACTGTCAACGCTCAACAAGTATTACGAAATGTCGTGTTTATATAAAACATACTCCAATCTGGGAAGGTTCATCAGTCACCTTGCTTTACAAACCGTGTCACAATGCTGCTCCGAGTATTTTATTACGCCTTCTTTATCTCGGTTGCGCTTGGTTACAAGCAGACTTTGACCTACTACTCGGAACCTGACTCCGGAGGGAATGCGTTGCAATTTCAGACCAAAGAACCTGATCTTACACTATACTGGCCAATACTGAGAGAATTCAGATCATTCTGCTATCAAGGATTGTAAGGGCCATGTAAAACATTTACAGACATGAAAATAAATATTCTTTGGCGTCATACTTTAGTTTGATTTTTATTTAAATAGCATTGAATAATTTTGTTACACCGTCCTGGTGCATTTATAATTTGGCTTTCATTCAACTTTTTCTTCTGAAAATTGATAAGAGGCTTTCGTTATTCCAAATACTCAATAAAAATTAATAAAATATACGAAACAGAGGTCGACGCCCACAAATTTTCGGCGGCGGCGGCGCCAGTTTTTTCGGGTTTTTCGGCGGCGTCGGCGGCGCGATGTCGAAACGTTAAAAGTAAATCTCTGTAAATCTCTGTTAAAATCACATTTTTCGGCGGCGCGGCGGCGTACGATCGGCGGCGTCGACCTCTGATACCTTTCGTATTACGAAAGGTACAATAAAAACGAGGAAGACATATGTATCCAAAAGGTAAAATTTAGCCGTTGGATAAATTTTTGACCCAATTGTTGCGTCATAGCTTTTGATGGTAAAGACATAATTGACAGTGGGAAAAACTGGCAAAATGAACTTTTATCACCCACCCAAAATAGGTTGGGAATGTGAAAAACTCTGATTTGGGGCAATTCGTGTGGGATTTTTTCACGCCCACAGTGATTTTTCCAGCCTAAAATAAAAGCGTTACCGCGTCGAAATTCATATAACGTACATAAATATATATAAACACTAGCCTATAAGCCCGTCCTAAAGACGGGCAACATGAAATTTTTTAACGTTGCTAAGGAATTTTTTCGACTTGTTAAGGCATTTTTTCGACTTGTTAAGGAATTTGTTCGACTTGTTAAGGCATTTTTTCGACTTGTTGAGGAATTTGTTCGACTTGTTAAGGCATTTTTTCGACTTGTTGAGGAATTTGTTCGACTTGTTAAGGCATTTTTTCGACTTGTTAAGGAGTTTTCTTGCCATTGCTGGGAAAATATTTTTGTTGGTAAAGAAATTTTTGTAACGTTGCTAAGGAAATTTTTTTAACGTTGCTAATAAATTTGCTTTATGTTGCTAAGGAAGTTTTTTTTAACGTGGCTAGGGAATTTTTTTTATGTTGCTAAGGAAATTTTTTAATGTTGCCAAGGAAATATTTTTTATGTTGATAAGGACACTTTTTTAACGTTGCTAAGGAATTTTTTTATGTTGCCAAGGAAATATTTTTTATGTTGATAAGGACACTTTTTTAACGTTGCTGAGGAATTTTTTTATGTTGCTAAGGAATTTTTTTAATGTTACCAAGGAAATATTTTTTTTAACTTTGCTAAGGATTTTTTTTATGCTGCTAATAAATTTGTTTTATGTTGCTAAGAAATTTTTTTTGTTGCTAAGGAAATTTTTTTTATGTTGCTGAGGAAATTTTTTTTATGTTGCTGAGGAAATTTTTTTAACGTGGCTAGGGAATTTTTTTGTTGCCTAGGAAATGTTTTTAACGTTGCTAAGCAATTTTTTTAACGTTGCTAAGGAAATTTTTTAACGTTGCTAGGGAAATTCTTTTATGTTGCTAAGGATTTTTTTTGTTGCTAAGGAAATTTTTATGTTGTTGCAAAAGAATAATCATAATCATAAATATAATCATGATCGTAATTATATCATAATCATAATTATAATCATAATCATAATCATAATCATAATTCCCTTCCCTGATTGGTAGAGCCAGAAAGCCGGTGACCAATCAGAATGCAGGAATGTCACGGAAAATTTTACGGGACGGACTTTTCGAAATTATAATATAGATATAACTTGCGCGAGGATGCTTTCGTGTATTTGAGTTCTTAAAATTTCGGTACTTCTACCGACTTCCGGAAATCGGTAGCTATGTCAATAATAAGAAATATTTTCTTTTTTAAACTCAGTTGGCATGGATTCAGTGAGGATTCAGTGGCATGGATTCAAATTACAACGATTCGACCACTTTCGGACATCTTTCTGCTGATGGGACAGTTCTTTGCAGGAATGGATATTTACCTCGAACAATGTCCTTGCGGTTCCTGGGACCCTTGGAAACAACAACACCGTCCATTTCAATTTATAGCGGGGCTGATTATAACTCGGCGGGAGGAACGGAACGAACTTTCACTGGGTTAGCAGCCAACAATTTTGGATTTATTCCGACGGCGATAAGTTTGACGGGAAGGTCGAGTTGGACGGGTTTTGCGAACGAGAATTTTTCTGGAAACTCGACCTGTTTCTCAACCTCAGAGCTGGTAGCGTACCTTGATATTTCAGAAATAATGGAGATCAGGTCAATTGTCCAAGGATGTATGTAGCGTCAAATATTATTTAGATAGTGGGTATTTTCATGTCGACAAGTTATGTTTTCTTGATATATTTGTCCTTCTACAATTTGTCGTAATTGTGAATCTAAAGCCTTTAGTGTGTATATTTGAAGGAATAAATAAAAATGTCAATGAAAATCATCTCTGCAGCCTAAACCCAAAAATTTTTCAGGTCAAAAGTCTACGATGAAAAATTGTTTATATGAACATGGTGCCGTAATCTTTCAACTTTAAAACTTCATACAAAAATGATTTTTAAAATCGCCGACGAAGAAATTGTCGGCAAATTGTCGCCGAATTGTCACCGAATTGTCACCTACCACACAGAAAGTTTTGACATTTTTATACAGAGTTTCAAAGTTGAAAAAGTACGGCATCATGTCGGTATAAAAATTTTGTAATCGTAGCCAGACTTTTGTTGCATACTGTGTATGGGAATAAACATCTTTTAGATGCAACCACAAGATAATAGCCATTTTTTCTAGTTTGCACATAGTTGAGTTAAGTTTACGCTAAATTTCGTAAAAGATGAATAAACTTTGAATTGATAAAGACGAATTTGCGCAATTTGGATAAATGTCGTTTGAGTATACCTGCTTTGATAAGTTACACTGATGTCATGCAAGCTTTTGTACGTATGTATGTACTGCGTATAATTGGAATCACACTGTCCGACGTGCATGGAGACACTGTTAAAATAAAATCCACGGAGTTACATAGATAAATAGATTATGCAAGTCATCAACGCGTGTAACACAAACTGGACTTTGGCAAAGATAAGCCTGAGCAATATGAGACCATTTTGTGAATAATCAATTATCATTCATTCCTTAAACTTATCTACATAGAGTTGGATATTTAGGTACACTGCGACCCACAAAACAAGGACGCCAAGGATTTCTTCCAATTTCTCAAAGACCCTCCAAAATATTTATATGCTTCTTTCACCATTAAGTACTACGGTGCCTGGTAGTCTTGTTGCAAAGTTTCCTCAAAATTGATGCAGGGGCGGAGAAGTTATCTAATAATATGTCAAAATCAGGTGGCTCGTAAATCAAGGACAGGTTTGGAATTATTTTCATTTTAGCCAGTTATTTTGTATTTTATCAATTCTCTTTCACAACAATACTCAGTATAACTATCCACCTGAATTATATCAGAAAGAAATCCATGATTTATTGACCCCGCGTGCTTATTGAGAACACTGATCGACGTTGAATCTCGTGCATCAGTGATTCCTTGTTTTTACTCGGAACCTGTTGAACACTGCCGAGTATTAGCATAAACTAGACGCGACTAAAATCCCTAAATAGTTTCAATCGGATTTAGATCCAAACACCTCAATGGCCAAGGCAGAATGTCGATACCGTTGTCTTGGGACCATTTCATTGATCACCGAGAAGCATAATATGGGGTATTATCTTGTTAAGACTGCCATCTTTTCTTCCTAATTTTTGTTTCGGAGGAAGTAATTGTTCTTCTGAAATGATCTGATAAACCTGTGAATTCAAAGTAGTCAGAACAACACGATGTTGGACCCAATTCCATAAAGCCCCAGATCACGACACCATCTCCCCCGCTCTGTGTGGGGTAAAGTTAAGTTTTGTTTCCTATGGTCCTGAAAATGATACTTAATCCTTTCAGGACAATCCAATGTGAATCGGTTTTATCCCTAAATATGGTGTTGATCGAGTTACGGGTCCACGACATTCGACCTTTTTCTAACTATGATCGAGCATCTTTGTGGTTCGGGGAAAGCTGACCCCTCTTCTCCATTTTCCTTCTGCAGAGGATGGGGCAAGCACGCCGGACTTTGTTTGTCGTTGATTTCGCTAAGGGAATCTTGGAAACCACTTTAGTCTGACTTGCAGTCACAAAGGAACTGCCTGAGTCACGGAGAATGATGGATTTTTCTCTCTGCATCATCTGAGGCATCCCACCTTGCTTGTTTATTCCACCGGAAGTGGTCCCTTTTGCCTTGAACGTTACTACGGAATGCCGCCTGACAATTATGTGCTTTGAAATTTTCGATATACTCCACCGATCTGCAAGTAAAGCCTATACCTTGCCCCTTTCCCACATGGCCTGGAATTTACCCTTCGCCATGGCATACCTGCCTAAGAAAAAGTTTAATTTACACCGACTATAGACCAATATATCACAAATATACTGACGATATAATTTAGGGCCCAAAGTCAATTGATTTCGCCCAGGGGAATAACAAACATCCTGTTTTTTGGGATATGTCCTTGTTTTATGGGTCACCTGAATTTTATGTATTTGTTGATTCCCAAGTTGTATGAGTATGAACCAAGATGGAAAGTTGCGACAAGACTACTACCCACCGTAGTACTTAATGGCGAAAATAACATAGAAATATCTTGGAGGTCGTTTGAGAAATTGAAAAAAATGATAGGTGTCCTTGTTTTATGGGTCGCAGTGTAGAGGGGGTTACTCCAAGAAAACTTGGGTAGATTGGAAAGGAAAAAATATTCGTAATTATGGATAATCGAAAAAATATTTCTCGTGGTGAAACATTTAATGAAAATTAACGTTACAAACTCCAAGATCGAATTTTATTAACATTACTAAATGGTGTATTTAAATGCATACATAGGTACAGGAATTTGTGAACTTTTACAGAGCTGGTTAGACTAAAGCCGGATACGTTTGAGGCACATTGAGACACAACATAACGACATTAATCCCAACGTTCAGAAGAAATACACATATAATAAAATCAAGAGCGTTCAAATCCTATGATAGATTCTTGCCATGTTTTATTTTTGATTTTTTTAATTGAAATAAAGCAATTCAGTATCTTAATCTTAATAAAATTTTAACTTCGAGTTTGTAATGTTAATTTTAGTTAAATTTTTCACCAGCAGAGTTTTTTTATCGATTATCCATAATTACCAATATTTTTTCGTTGCAATCTGGTCATGTTTTCTTGGAGTAACTCCCTCTACCTAACTAGCTAACTCTATGTAGTTCAGTTTAAGGAATGAATAGCAATTCATTATCCACAAAGTGGTAACTTGTTGAGGCTGATCTTTGCCAAAGTCCAGTTTGTGTTACACGCGTTGATGACTTGCGTAACTATGAAGAGTAAATATGTATGTATGCATATGTATGCATGCATGCTTATGTATTTATGTAAGTTCAAGGTCAAGTTTAAAGCGATTTTTCTTGATTAATCTAAGATAAATTGCTTTCCTGAGTTAATAAACAATTGCTTAACCCGCTACGGAGAATGATTGGCTGCAAGAAACCCCTTTTATTCGGAGCCGTTATAAGTGCATATACATATGTATCAGTTGAGGTGACAAATATATGTAAGGACAAATGCGTAACCGACATTTATGTAAACGAGATTGATGCAACCAGACATGTACCCCGACATTTATGTATTTGTATATCAACATATTTGCATCTATGCTTCTTTTTGATTTTTTGTCACTGTTTGAATTTGTCGTTTTGAAAGTTCACTGACTGACAATGCGACGACGCCAGCGGTATCGCTCCGATTTTGAGGAAACTTTGATAATTATGTAGCCTTAGGTAAATAATTGAACACATGTTTGGGCATTTTTCATAATCCTCAGTTTAAACAAAGTTGTGATGGTATAAGTGGCCGAAAATTCGCATTTCTTCCTCTCAAAAACAACAAAGGAAAAACGTCACGAGACCAATTCCACTGCAAAGTGTGGTCAAGTTTGAAATTATTGGCTTAATTTGCGGTGTGTGAGAAGACTTGGAGGACTATGCGCAATGCGATGCGATGGTGTGAGGTGGTTATCGCCGATATCCACCGGACTAATTTTAAATTGTTCACGCTCAAAAATAAGTGGACCGGTATTTTTTCGTGTTTCTGAATGGGCATGTTGACGCCCTTGGCGTAGTTTTCAAAAAATATTTCACCCAAAATTCTGATTTTCAAAAAAGCTGTAACTTTTCGAATTTTAACCCGATTTAAAAAAAAATAAACCAAATTGGTGTTCAGAATTACATCCCTGAAAATTTGAAAACTCATTTTTAAAAATTTTAAAAATCTGATATTTTCATGCAGGGATACATATGTATATATATATGTATGTAATTCTGAACTAAAAATGGATTTATTTCTTGAAATCCGGTAAAAATTTGAAAAGTTTTTAAAAATCCTGATTTTGACTGAAAGTTTTTTTTGAAAATTCCGCTAAGGGCGTAAACATGCCATTCAGAAAAACGAAAAAATACGGGTCCACTTATTTTTGAACGTGAACAAATTAAAATTAGTCCGGTGGATATTGGCGATAACCACCCCACACCCTCGCATTGTTAGTAGGGACCCTGGACTATCACATTTTTGCATCTAACTGTGTGTAGGGGAATTTGAAGCCTGCTCAACTTTCGCCACTACAGATAGTGCATTTACTGTATAAAGCTGGTACTCCGGACGGAGTTTTTTAAGCAAAGACGTAGATTTACTTATTGTCGTACACGATGATAATATCTCGCATCACTTAAGCTACTTTTTAAGAATTGTTTCATAATCTGTTATTTCTAGCTTCATAAATTTCGCGACGTCTGGTAAAATGGTTTGAAATCGTGTTTACTTGTTGTCACGAAACTTTTAAGGAAAGCTTTTAGAGAATTACTTAACGCCTACTTTAAAGTTCACATTTCTTCGGCCTATATGAGCATGAATAATTCATCTGCTTTTAATACCTATGTATGTAAGAGTGTCTGTTCAAAATACAGCCCAAGGGTGACCAGATAACTCAACCTAACAAATCTGATCGTAAAATATGGTACCGTGAGCTATAAATGATACGAATTACCATAGCATTTAGTGTTCAATATCACATATTCCAAGCCCTTCGGCAATACCTACATATTTCAGTAATTAAGGATTTCCCTCAACGTTGTTTTCTTTCAATTTTCACCAAGTGGTAAAAAATTGCCACCAATTGAGGGAAAGTTTAATGCTGAGTAATCATTATCTACTACGCAACAACATACTCCACATTTCTAAGAGTGCAGTAGAACTTATGATATAACCGAATATATTACTACTAGCGTATAAGCCCTTCTATCGCCGGACGACGTATATCCATGTATGTGGGCGATGGGGTGTGAGTTGAACATTTTTCAGT